CCCCAAAACCCCAAAACCCCAAACCCCAGACATGCATATGCTTAGATTTTAACAAGTAAAGTAAATATCAAGCAAAGTTCAGTAATAAGGAACCTAAAACAATTCATCTAAGCTCTCCTTTTGATGGACTCTTCTGATAGTCTCAGCAAGTAAAAGATCTAGACTCACTAGGCCATGTTTGTTTCCAACTTTCTTTACAAACTCATCCTTGAGTGGAATTGAATCAGTTGTGACAACTTTTTCAATTACTGAATTAGCTATTCTTTCAGCTGCAGTGCCATTGAATAAACCATGAGTTGCAAAAGCATAGACTTTTTCAGCACCATTCTCTTTAAGAGTCTTTGCTGCTTCGCACAAAGTGCCTGCAGTGTCTATCATGTCATCAACTATTATACAGGTCTTTCCTTAAACATTTCCAATCAATTGCATTGAGTCAACTTTATTGGCCTCCTTTCTTTCTTTGTGAATCATTGCAAGGCCTATCTAATCAGCGCCATAACCGTGATACTCAAAATGGCCATGAAAAATTTTAGCTCTATGCATTCCACCTGCATCGGGAGATACTATAACAATGTCCTTTTTGTTTGGGATCTCTTTAAGGAAATAATTTAAACCAGCGAATCCTCCTTCTAAGTTATCAAAGGTGGTATTTGATGTAACAAATCCCTGAGCCTAAGATACATGAAGATCAACTGAAACTATTCTGCGAACACCCATAAATTCCAAAATTTAAGCTACATCTGCTCCACTAATGGGAACATTCCAGTAATGCTTTCTATCTTGTCTTGCATATCCATAATAAGGGGATATCACTGTAACTGATGCAGCTCCAGCTCTTCTCACAGCGCTTACTGTCAGGAAAAGTTCCATAATGTTATCATTGACTGGGGTGCATGTAGGTTGAACAATATAGATGTGTTTTCCATTAACATTATCAAGGATTTTAACATGAGTCTCTCCATCTGCAAAGCGAAGCACTTTACTCTTGGCTAATGGAATTCCAAGACATTAACTTATACCTTGGGCTAATTTAGCATTTGATGTTCCTCCAATAACAACAGCGTCATTTGAAATTGGGGTTTTGCTTCTTGATCTTTCATAAGGATCTATAGTCTGATTCAAAGCTTATGCGCATTGTAGATTAAAGAAGCTTTGTGTTTGATATTTGTAAAAACCGAATGCCATTACTCCAAATAATGCTGATCGAGCAAATTTTAAATGCATACTGCTTCTTTTAGCTGATTAAGCCAAAGATTATATCGTATAAAATTTATTTAGCTAGCTATAAAAGTTGAGAATTCATAGGGTTTTACGTTTTAATTGCAAAGATACTGCTCTTCATTTTTAACTAATAATTATTTAAATAATCACCAATAGTATATCTAGCATAATAAATTATATTTAAGATATTAAATTTATTAAAAAATTTCACATATTTTACATTCATGGGGTTTTGGGGTTTTGGGGTTTTGGGG